AACAAAAACAAAAAACACTCACCTGCTAACAAGAAGACAGTGGTTTGAACCCACCAGGTGTTCAGCTGGACAAAGATGTGGAAGTCTGTTTCTACACTGATTACAGCCTTGGGAGCCCCGAGGCGCGGTTCGAATCTGTCCTGTAGGCTTGCTGAGTTGGAATTGAACCAACAACCTGATTGGCTTCGAAGTGTTGCCTTATTATTCTTTTGATTTGCATTTTAACCGTTGAGTGAAAATCATTTGCTTAATTTTCTTTTTTTCCCATTTGCTTAATTTTCATTGGGTTATTTATCTCTTTCTTTTTGATATGAGAGGGCTCATTACATATTACGGAAATGATTTTTGTTGTTGTTGTTATAGAACAGCCTGTGGGTCACGACCCCTTTGGGGGTCGAATGACCCTTTTACAGGGGTCGCCCGATTCATAACAGTAGCAACAAAAACAATTTTATGGTTGGGGGTCACCACCACATGAGGAACTGTATTAAAGGGTTGCGGCACTAGGAAGGTTGAGAACCACTGCTACAGAAGGTACAAGTATTTTTTTTCCACATTTGACCTGATGGCTTTTCTCTCCTTTCTCCAGAAAAGCCGTTATGAGACCTATATCCATCTCCTGGCTGTGAAAATCAAAGTGGGCTCAGACGACTTGGAGCGGATTGAGGCCAGGCTGGCCACTCTGGAAGGAGATGACCCTTCTCTTCGGAAGACACATTCTAGTCCTGCCCTCAGCCAGGGCCATGGACCTGGGACTGGTAGCAAAGCCACAAAGGATGCCCCTGGGCCTGACACTTAGCTGGTGTGGATGAACAGGCCCCGGAGGCAGAGAAACGCCTCATGAGGGGTCAGTGAGCACAATTCCAGCCAGAAGCCACGCCAACCAAGTTCCAGGTGGTTGACCCAGCCAGAGTGGTGTGGCTAGCCCCATGGGCCAAGAGGCTGGAGAAGCCATTCATGGTGATGATCTTTGATGCTGGACCATCTTTGGGCCTCAGACTCTCTTCCCAGCCCTTGCTTCCCCCCCCCCCCCCCCCCCCCACCACGGAGCCTCATTTCGTAGACCAGCTGTGTGCATGCTCTCGGCATCGTCTCACTGGAAACGGTGGCAGGGCTGTTTCATCCCAGGCTCTCATCATCTTTCTTCCCTCATCTCCTTTGTTTCTGAAGGGCAGCGCTCGAATCCGGGTCCTGGTTTGGATATCCGCCGGTTTTCCCTGCCTCTTTCCTCTGAGTCGCTCAGCAGCAGGTCTGCAGACCACCAGCACTATCGTTCCTTCCTCCTCCTGATGTCTGGAACCATGCCCACTCCTCCTGAATCACTTGGCAATAATCTAGGACCTGGGTCTGCCCACTCTCGGTGCCAAGCTGTCTCAGCTCATGAGTGTGTACCCCACTCCTTCTATCGTCCGAGGCCACTATTGCTTTCTATTTATACATACATACATGGACATATATAAGAAGTATATATACAGGGAGCCCCTTTAAAGATGGTTTTAGAACTGACTCCAGTTCACCAGGATGAAATAAGATGGGGGAAGAGTCGATGTTCAAGCCCTACCTGTTAGCAAGTAGGCTGGCATCTGGCCCCAGGTGGCCCTGACATGTCAAAAGGTGGAGATGTTGGGACCTCCTGTCAACCTGTTTCCCCCTCTTCCGGCTGACCTGTGACTTACACTGCTCTGACAGTCTACGCTTTTGGAATGAGTGAGCGGTTGTGCTGCTGCTCCTGGCCCGTGGCGGTCCTGGCGTGTGAATGGGACGGGACCATAGCCCTGTTCACATTTTGGTGTCTATGTTGGTGCTGCCAGGTCTCTGAACTCAAGAAGTGGCATCGTGTACCAACCTAGTGCTACAGGAATAAAGACACTCCTCTACAAATCCAAAGATGCCTGGAGGGGGGAAGGTTCTGGAAGCCCTGAGTTCTTGGTCTTGAGAAAAGGTGGAATGATAATTTGCTCACTGTTTGTAGCTTGGTATTTCTTTCCCTCTTCTAGGAACTCAGAAAGGCCTAGTTAAAGGCATGCCTGGGAAGGAGAGAGAGATCTGGCACGTGGTGATCACCAAATTAGCGTCTCTTTGACAAGTGGGTGGGTGGGGCGGGGTGATGGCACCCTCAATACAACCATGCCAAGCAACTCCTTTCTCCTTTCCCAATAGATCACTGTAGTCAGTCTGGCCATCTGCCCGTAGAGGAACATACTTAGTTCATCAACGAAGCCAACACGGCAGCTCTGTGTCCAACATTTCCCAACCCACTCGATTTGCTGCGAGGGAGGCGAGTCCACAGAGGGGGTCAGCCTAGATGGCTTCCTTCCGGTCAGCTGGCGTGTGTTTCACACTCGAACCATCTGGCCTCCTTCGTGGTGCTCAGGGCAAGTCTGCGTTCAGTGAGATGGAATGGCAAAAGCGAGTGTGGCCACATGACGGCTCCGGGACTGCCTCCAGGCTGTCTCTAAGGTCTTTCACATGTGCGGGTCAGCGTGTCCCCCCCTTCATTTGGGTGGTGAGAGCAGAGGAGCAGAGCTGCAGCAGCTGCAGACAGATGTGCTTCCCCGAGCTCGGGCCGCGCCTCCCGTCAGTGAAGAAGCAAAGTGAACTCATATTCATAATGTGTATACTTATTTATTTGTAAATTATATACATGTACTACTGTACTAAAATATTATGTACATTATAAAAATACACAAAAATAGAAGTTTAAAAAGGATGCGATGAAAATAAATCTAAATCAAAGTTCTAATATTTTCTTCCTGCATTCAAATGGATCCTAACGTTCCCCTTGTAATCTCTGCCCCCAACATGCCTGGACTTTCTCATCTCGGGGGCCCTGAAAACCACAGGTGACATGTTAATACCTGATTTGCGACACCTGGTGGTCCTGGAAGATGACAGCCTACTCAGGGCCTCCTAAGGGACTGACCAACCGAGGACAGTGTCCTTGAGAGCTCATCCTCTTACTAGTGAGGGTCAACCCTGGGTGACACACTGTGTGGATGCTGGGGATACTGTGGTAAGAAAACTGTTGGCTAGGTCCCTGTCCACATGGGGCGCACAGTCTGGTGGGGCTTGGGATAGATCTCACCACCATCGTTTGAGACGCTGGGGTGCCGGGGAAGGAGAAGCCGGAAATGACGTGGCAGAGAGACGGAGGAGGAGTTGGGGGAGCGGAGAAGAGGACTTCGGGCTCAGGAAGCTGCTCCTGGAGTCCGGGAAGTCATTGAACAGGGCTGTAGGTCTTCCTGAAAGGTATTCTGCAGGTTCCCCAGGCGGACAGCTGAGGGGCAGAGGAGAAGGAACGCCTCTAGCCAAACCTGCCGCCAAGCCCCGTCCTCCGGCCTGGGAAATGAATGGATAGACGATTCCATGCGGACAGTCAAGGAACCGCTCTAAGTTCTGGCCTGAGACACCCTCTGAGGACCCAGAGCAGGTAATGAAGGTATCCAGGGGGGTCATGCAAAGGTCAGTGAGTTCCCCAAGAGATCATTCCGAATCCATCGGGGTCACAAGTGGGGGATTCATTTATGTCCAGGAGCTGATTGGTGATGGAACGGTTCGAATAGCAACTTAGCAGGTCA